CGTGTAAAACACTCTGTAAGCATCCTTCCTGCCTGTTTCTTGCAGGTTTTCTTGACACTGCTGACACTGCTGACTGCAATTTATCGTTGTTTTTTTTTTTGCACGATGTGATTGCAATCTCTTCTCGCAGCATTACATCTCCCGGTTTTGGGGGCCCTGCGCCCGCCCCACCTACCGCAGTTCCCTGTTTCTCTCCTGATTTTTCTCGTCTTTCCCCACTGAACACGGCCGCTGGCTGTGCTCGAGCATTGAAGCAGTGGTAACTCGTGTATTTAGTCCATGCTCACAAGATTAACAGCAGAGGTGTGCGCTGCGAGACGTGCTTAGGGGTCAAATTCCATGGGGGGTCGTTTTTTGCCGGCCGGACGCGTGCCTCTCGGGAACGGACAGGCACGTCCCTCCATGTCACGGGTGAAAAATCACGCCAAAGAGCGACGAGGAGGTGACCATGAACTCCACCCACCGGCAATAAGACGCCGACGGGGGCAACGCAGGGAGGCTCGCCTTGATTAGAGGAGGTCGTCGCCCGTCTGGCGACGAACGATGGGCTGTTAGGAGAGCATTTTAGCTAACGAGATTGACGGCGGACGTGTCCAGCGGCTTGATTCACTGTACTGGAAATTCGGGGATCTAAGTCGGATGCGTCTCCGGGCCGAATACGCATGTGACAACAGATTACATTGAGCTCAGCTTGATCTGTGTTACAATGCCTAGCAAAAGCCCACTTTTCAGCGCTGAGCGGCGCCGTCTTAGCGCTCTGTGCCTCACTTTGCCCCGTAAAAGCTTTCTTTTCACGCCCGGTTCGTACCCCGTGGGAAATCTGCGCGATCGGAGCCGTGCTCTGGTCGCAGGGTTGCGACGGCCCGCCGCTCGCGACGAAACCCGAGCCGGCGCAGCGCGGAAACGCCGCTCGCCCCGTTCACACGCTGGGGTGGGGTGTCGCGGCCGCTGACGCTCGGCCCAGGGCAGGACGGCCTGCTTGCTGCACCTGTGCGACGAATTCAGGTGCGACTTCACTGTCATAATAACGCATGTTGTCCTTCATGATCGGTTTTCCCTGACTTCTTTGCTCGGAGATAGCTTTTGAAAATGATTATCTTGCGTAAACCGAAACAGTCTGCAGTTCCGGGAAAGTCATACTGATGGCAAACATCCCATTAGCTGGCAGTGCACCAAAATGTCCCCGTAAAGCGTTTGCCGTCTTAAGGAAACGTTTTCTGCTGAAGCCTTTGCTTCGGTAAGACCCTTCAAAAGCTTTCTATGTTTGTCTCTGCGATGACGGAAAGGCCAGGCGTAGACGTGACACTGCCGGTGCGCGCGATGCACCGCACCGTTTGTAGTTCTCAAGCCTAATGCGTATGCCGTTTGTAGCGCCTTGGAGGATTGGGATTCTGCCGCGAGCGTCTTACCCAGAAATGCAGTGTTTTGATCGAAGCGGGCGCGCACAAGCTCACGTAAGCCTGTTGCGACATTGTCGGATGCAGCTCGAGACGCTGAACGCACCCGGCGTCGATGACGTTGATGACGTCATGTTCTGACGTGACGACAGACACACATCCGCACTGGTACCGGATGTGGGCGGCTCGTTAGTCTGTGAATCGGTAGGGGTGATATCAGCGCACCGGAATACGTCACAGCGCGCTTACGCGGCGCCTGGCTTGGGGGCCCAGGCGGGCGATGATTTATTGCATCCGCGTTCAGTTGCACGGCAACAAGCGAAGCCTAGAGCCGGATCACGCGTGCAATTAGCGAGAATTATGGGGAGCAGGCCTAATGATGTTTTCCTAATTTGTATTCGTACCGAACCGAAAATGTGTCACCAAAAACGTATTTTCAGGCCCTGTAAATCCAGAACAGCTACAATATTGTTACGCATGCATTTTGGGTTTGGCAGTAATAATATGAGCTGAAACAGTATGGGCTAAAACAATCAACAGCTTGTCACTTGTAGGCTCGAATTATTGGAAATGCCACATACGTGATATCCGCCTTTCACAGAACTCGTATTACGGTTAAAACGACAGACTCCTGGCAAAATAAAGGTTACACAACGACTCAGAAGAATACACTGCAACTTTCTGCATGCCTCCCAAACAATCCAAGCAATTTTTCCGTGCCCGCGGTCCGTTCTAAGCGGCGAGTTGGTGGGGGTTGATTTTCATGCCCTCAGTATCATTCCAGAATAGCTCACGCCCGGAATGATAAAAAAGCTCACGATCAATAGCTCACGCACGCCCGCAGAATAAAAAAACGGGTGCTTAGCCGCCTGCCAGATACCACAGTTAAAGGGAGTGTTACACGTTTGGATGGGGCTTTTAATTGAAATAACCACATTGAAGACCTTTTGATGCAGCCCGCCGCCATGCCCTTTTTAAAAGCCACAAGCTTTAAAGCCGCGAATGTGTGGGAGAGTAATTTGAGAGTATTTGAAGGTCACCTTGGTATGCATGACGCCATGGAGACGTCATAAGATCACCGTCATATTGCAGGCTGTTTTCGGCTCATGGTAAAAAAAAACAGCATGGTCGCTGGTGCATTCACATTAGCGATGATGCAGCACATATGGTGCAATCCACGGAAGGCGATCTGCTGTGACGATAGCTTCGCTGCTGAATGCGTGTCGCCAAGGTAAGTGCGAGCAATTTCGAGTTGTGCAGCACTTGTTAACGGGGCATTTCTCTCCATTTCTAGGCTGTGTTCCAACTATTTGTGTTGGTGCGGAATGCCGAACCTCAAGTGCCGTGTGTGTGGAGCTCGCCGGACCAGACAAAGTCATTTGGCTGTCTTCGCGTAAGCACCTCGCTTTAAACTGTCAAAACAGACGCATTACGTCGAATGTGTCTAGCGTATCAGAGACATCACAGCAATAATTTGAGGTTATTTACTTGTCAATATCGCATGCAATTTCGGGCTCGGTGTGCGTTCGCCTTCAATTGAATCGTGTAGACCCCAAGCCCAGGGAGTTACTATGCAACTTACGCAATATCCGGCAAAAACGCATGCAAAAAACAAGCCAAAGTCGCTGAAAAGTAGGTGCCTATCGACATGACCCGAGTTTGGTGGCCCCGCGCGGCCTCGCGCTGATGAGCGTACGGCTCAGCCCATTGCAGGCGCAGTGGGCGATTTTTTTGCAGACAGGCACGCTCAGTACCCAGACAGGCACACTCAGTTCTGGTACCCAAACCTTTGACTCACGATGCACCGTTCGTGAGGGCGCTCTAATGGAGTGTAGAGAGACAGCGGGAGATAATCTAGCAAACCAGATCAAAATGCTCCAATAAAAGATCCAAAGTAATGAGACATTCAGGAAAGACAAGACGATACGTTACATTGCTGTGCCTATACAATTCTACAGAGGCGTAAATTTGGTTCGCAAATGAGTTGGGGGCTGGCTAGTGAAAATGACAACCCAACCTAAAACACACCAAAAACCCGGGTTTTCCTCGAAATTGGGCCACTTGCTCATGAGAGTTGGGGGGAGGGGGGGGGGGGGCTGCAGGCAAGGTTGGGGAGTTGCAGCCCACCCAACCGAACAGGAAACTACACCCCTGCACTTCTATAATCAGAGCACAATGCTTCAGGCACCACAGGGTGCGGCACACTGCACACAAATGCGCGGGCAGACATGACAACCAGTTTCCGACCCAAAGTTGTTCTTTCCGTGTTTTGAGGTTTCTTTGCTGGCACGTTCATTTGTGCTAGTACATAGTGATGTTAGCCGTTGTTTAGCAGCGCTCAGATTACATTCAATACAATCATTTTTCCGCCACATGCCACAGCGGCCCCCCAATGCCAAACGCACTCTATATGACGCGCTTCACCTATGGCCCAGTTGTGTCCGAGCGGTCACGGAGCGGCAGATGCCGGTGGCCACGGAGCTGAGGTGAGTCAGCGGCACTGCCAGCCCGGGGCCGGCGACAGCAGACGCACTGCGTCAACTGCAAGTGGGTCACGCCCATCCCGGCCGTGACGCATGGCACAACGGACGAATTTAGCTTCCGCGGAACTGGGCCGCACCGGCGCCTAGGCGGTGCCACAATGGTCGAGCGCTGATCAACGCATTCATTGGCCCTGTGATGGAGACCAGTGGTGGCTGCGTCCCCCGACCGGGCTCGTTAACGGCCCCCCTGAACCGGGCTGGAGCCATTGAGGCGGACAGGCGGACAGGCGGACAGGCGCCGGCGGCGGCGGCGCGTGTCTGCCGCAGGACAAAGGCGCCGGAGGGTGGGGCACAGTGCGTGGTCAGTCGGAACAGTCAGTTTGTAGAGCGAATCCCCGAGGGATTGCTGCTGAGTGGTAGCGGCGACTCGCGGTCAGTTTTTGAAGCGAATTCTCCGAGGAATTTGTTACCGAGCGTTCGGGTTCAGTCCGTTTAGCCCTCGGGTCAGTTTTTGAACGTCTCAAGGGATTCGTGGTCGGGTGCTGTGACGGCCTGCAGGCACTTATTGGAGCGAATCTCACAGACGATTTTTTATCGAGTGTCGTGGACTAGTTTCTTCTCTTCTTGCGGCATATTATGACAGACCAGAGACGGGGAAGACGTGCGCTGAGACGAATCAGCGTGACGTGGAGCGAATGAACGGTTACAGACTGTGCACCGTGACCGAGCCTGCAGAGGGTTGCCAGTCAATCGAGACGGTATTTGTCGCCAAAGCGTCGGGAGGTGCCGCCCGTGCGGCGGGGGCGGCGGTCGCTCCCCGCCAGCAGCTCGAACGCGGCACTTAGCGCGTCCCGGCCGGTACTGGCCGTCACCCTCTGCGCTGTTTAATTGCGCGTTTCACCGGAGCAGCACGCCTCCAATCAACGCCAGGCTACGCCCGCCATGTGGTCTGCCAATCAGCGTCCGCCATGCAGTTTGCCAATCAGCGCCGCTTAACGAGGAGTGCGTCGGGCAGTCGGCATAGCTTCTGGCACGATAGCTTACAGTTGCCGAGCATCCTTTACATGTAGTTTTGTTGTGGTAATTTGATGGAGATTGGTCAAGGCGGTGGCCGTGCGTGCAGCCCGATTTATTGCACAGTGCAGCAATCGTCAAAACGTAGCATCGCACCGCCGTCGGTCTCCAGCTTTCCGCACTGTGCCCGCCCGTGTGTCCGAGATCACGACAGAATGTCGTTTCCGCAGGAGCGCAGACTGTTGCCCGCGGAATTTGCGCGCAAAACGGACGTGAGGCACTCCGATGGGCCCATCTGGCGTCAGCGCCGCACAAGAACGCCAGCTTGCACACGCCTGCAAAATGACGCAGGCGAGAGCACATCAGCACCGCTACCCTTACCATACTGAGCAGAGACCCTTATGTTCAGCTGTCGGATGTGTCGGTCGGCACACAGATGGGTATATTAAAAAATCAACGACCACGACGCCCTGAATGAGCCACGCCTTCAAAATGGACATCGCCACCCACACCCCCGCCAGCATACACCGGCGAGGTTCCACGAACACTTGGCGACAGGTACGCCTGCCTCCTCCCCACGACATCAGGTGAAGCGCGTCCCCTGACAACAACCGGGGCGCTTGCCACTGGCCGCCGACCGGCGCGCCCTCTGCGGCCAACGTAACACGCCCGAATCCAGCGCCGATAGATGGCGTTCGTGTCGGCAGCACCGCACCCGCGCGTTGTACAACGGTGGCTGAGTTCGGGTGTCTCAGCTGATCTGGGACCGCCGGCTGCCCGCCTGCACCAGCTGTTCGACCGTCCCTACACGGTGGTCCGACACGGCCGCAGCTGTGCGACAGTTCGGCGCGACGCAGCGGTCCGATGCGACAGCCAGGTGCGCCGCGCGACGTACAGGACGCGACCGTGCGACGGCCAGGTACGAGAGCGTCCGCGCGACGGCCGGCTCACATGTCCTCGGTGCTCCACTTGTACGCCTCGAGCTCGACCGCCTTCTTGGCGTTGCGGCGCAGGAAGAGCGCCTTCTCGAAGCCGCTGGAGCGGTCGACGCCGTCCCAGCGGTAGCCCGGCCAGATGTTGTAGCGGTTCGGCGGCGGCTCCGTCTTGTTGTACCGCGGCCGAGCTGGAGAGAGCGGGGCAGGGAGGGGACGTCAGCTGGCCGACATCCGCAGAGTGAGGTGAGGTGAGCTTTCAGACAAGTGGGCGACATCGCTCAGGCACAGACGTCAGCGTTAGCTTGAATTTCTTACATCACATACTGCCTTATTTCGGTAAGGCTCTAGGCAGTACCCACGCTTGTAGTGGCCAGATAAAATTGTTTCCAGCGATAGTTCGCGTACAAACCTACCTCTGCAAAACGCCATCGTCTGTATTTAAGAATGGAATGCGACAGGAGATGCGAACAACACGACGCGCTATCCTTTGTAAAGACAGTTGAATTCAATAGGTTAAAAAACAACATACAACATGCTATTTTCGTCTCTATTTCGTACCAATACCGAATACCACAATTTTCGTACTTGCGTACTGCGGTCGATCGCAACTTAACATCAGGAAGACTACACGAAAATCTAAAAACAAACAGCCGGAACATGCGTCAATCCATCACTACGATTAATTTTAAAGATCGGCCAGATGGCATGAAAAGGCATACTGGTTGCCTCCAACAGTCAACACACCACAGACTTTCGAAGTCACAGCAATCCAGCTCAAACCTACGATCCAATGACCGATGAACCAGCCCCAGGGGGTGCGCTGGTCCTCTCTGTACCGTGACCCAGGAAGGCCGTGGTCGCCGGTGGTAAGCTTTGAGGCGACCACCAATAAACTCAGCAGCCGCAATCAACGCCACCGCAGCACGCTACCTCCACCTCATCGAATGGCTGGCTGGTAACATCAAACCCCATCACGACATCCCACCAGACTCCACCCAGTCCTGCCCCTAGACCTCTCCGGACGGCGCCTCCCCCCCCCCCCCCCAAACTCGCCCCGCGGGACACGCTCACCCTTGACGGGCCCGTCCACCTTGGCCTTCTTGCGCTGCATGTAGTCGGCCATGGGGTCGTCCTTGCGCTGGCGTCCGCGCAGCTCTGCCTCCAGGTCGGCGTCGTCGGCGTGGCGCGCCAGCGGCTTGTTGGCCTCGCGCAGATGGTCCTCCACCCGCGCGCGCCGCTCCTCGGCCTGCTTCAGGCTGCCGGCGCGGCACGTGCCCGTCAGTGGCCGGGCGGGGGAGGCGCAAGGCTTTTTGTCGAGAGGTTCTCGTTCGACTCTGTTCATAGGGACGCTTCACAGGACGTGGCTTCTATCGGGAGTGAGGCCGCTAATGGCGTAAGAAATGCAACGCAGCGTAAAAAGCGACAAACAAAACAAGCCCGGTACCGCAGCTAGCGATTTCGATCGTCAACGACGCTAAACTGGCGCAGCCCAACACTGGTTGATCAGGCAATACGAAAAATCTACTCTCGTCTCCCATCCAACACACCCATGGGCTCGAGAAAAGTACGTGATAGGCGGCGGAGCAAACAACAGTTTGCAGAATATCCATGCCCAGTTGCACGTGGCGAGCGGTTGTGCCCTCAGCAGCATAAACCGCTCTTGCGTACGTACCCTTTGCCCCAGGCATCATATTTCTTCTTTCTTTCCTTGGCCTTCTCCTCCTCCTCAGCTTTCTTGGCGGCCTTTTCTTTGTTTTCTTGCAATTTTCGACCGCGGATCTTAGTTTCTGCGTTGCGTCCTGAGAGCGACGAGTCCATCTACGACAACCAAACCAACTTAACATTAAAACATGACAAGGTTACGCCCATGAGCATACTATAATCTGATCAAGACACGATGCGTAAAAACCTATCACATGCACGTTGGCGAATGATAAAGAGCTGAGGAGCTAGCTCGAAACTAGAGACGCCAACTACACCAAGCCAGCATTCATAACAGAGGACTACCGTCAGAGTTCGCTGCATCATCAGCAGACGCCGTCATCGGCGGATCGGGGACAGCAGCAGCAGCGTCTCACCTCGGCCATAGTCTTCTGCTCTCGGCGGCGGGCGGCGCGGTTCTCCTCCCGCAGCGCCGTCACGTCCTGCAGGCCGGCCCGCTTCCCGTCCTGCGTGCGCGACGGTGGCGCCGGAGACTCGGCCTTCTGCGGTCGCCGCCAGGAGCGCGGCGGGCTGGCCGAGTCGGCGCTGCCGTCGCGCGGCCGCCGCTCGTCGGCGCGCCTCCGGCCCGGGCTGTCGGCGCGGCCGCGGCGCGAGTCGTCCGCCGTCCTCCGCCGGGCGGATGAGTCCGCCTCCGGACGGCGGCGCGCGCTGGCCGAGTCTGTCCGCGCGCCGCCGCGTCGCGGCGGGCTTTCGTCAGAGTCAGCGCGAGTCTTGCCGCCGGTCTTCCTCCGCGGCGGGCTTTCGTCGGAGTCAGCTCGAGCCTTGCCGCCGTTCTTTCTCCGCGGCGGGCTCTCGTCGGAATCGGCGCGAGCCTTGCCGCCGCCGGCAGGCCGCCTGCGCGGCGGACTCCCGTCCGAGTCGGCGCGCCGCCGCGGCCGCTTCGTCGGCGAGGGCTCTTCGGAGTCTCGGCGGCCGGCGCCGCGCCGCGGAGGACTGGCGTCTGAGTCGGCGCGCCCGGCCGGCTTCCGGCGAGGGGGACTCGCGTCCGAGTCGTGGCGCCGGCGGCCGCGGCGCGGCGCCGAGTCCGAGTCGGAGCTGCTCTCGCTGGCCGAGCTGGCGCGCCGCGTCGAGCTGTCCGAGTCGTGCCGGCCGGTCGCCGCGGCTCCCGGCGGCTCGTCGCCCGCCAGCAGCTTGCGACGAGGCACGTCTTCCTCCTCGAGCATCTTGAGGCTCTCGCTGAGGATCTCGCGCTGCGACTCGAGCTCCTCGAGGTCGCACTCGTCGAGCGTCTTCCAGCGCTTGTCGGCGCCCGGCGGCGGCGCGTCCGAAGTCACGGCCGCCACCTGAGGGCGCTCGTCCGGCGCGTCCAGCAGGCCGTCGTCGGCATTGTCGGCGGCGACGGCTGGGGCTGGAGCGTCATCATCCACGATGCGGGTCCTGCAATGTGGGGGGCAGGGGAAGTGAGCTGGATTCAGTCTGATGGCACTCAAATTTGAAAGGCACCTGTTTGAAGCCATGTGGACTACTGGCATTGACAAACATATCAAGATGAGGCAAGGCAGCATCCACAGAAAAAACCACAGTAATGCAATGAAAGCATAGGCTAGGTACACAGCTTTCTGCAATGCTCACATCTAGAAGTACAAATCACAGAAGTGTCAAATGCTACTGGAACTGTCAAAACTGAAGGGGGTGAAAAAACACCTTGATGCCAAATCACATTGCTTCCCAACCAACAGCTAGCAGTATGAATATGAAGCTGGATAGTAGAAAAATGACACAGTTTACTCATCATTAACAGTTGGGGAATTAGAGTGATATGCCCAAGTTTGAGCTTATTGGATTATTGTATTGTCCCATCACAGCCACAGCTTTCACATACCCCTTTCCTTTTGGGACCTTTACTTTCTTCTTCTTCTTGCCAGTTCCCAAGTACTTCTTCAAGTATTCCTTCTGATCAGTTGTTGATGACATCTCACTGGCAGTATGATCTTCAAATGGCCATTTTCTGGCCCTTATGTTGGTTTATAAATCTGGAAAAATAGCAGATGATTGCATACCTATATTTGTTATCAAACATAACACTGTTGTTCTAAATAGGGCTCTAGTTCAGGCACAATCACTGTTCAGCAGCATGAGCCAGTAGCCAAGACAAATATCCTGTTATCATCATTATAGGCAAATTTTGTTGCAGCATTCAGTTCACAGGAATACCTAGACACCTTTGGAAGAACAAGAGATATAACAAATAAGAATGACTTTAAGGTGATTTGACCACCACAAAAGGGGTGAGGGACTGGAGCCCTTCCAACTAAAAAGGACACTAAAACTCTGAGTCCAAGTGCTACATTCTGTGCTTATTTTCTAACAGTTCAAAAATACTTTGGTAGTTGGCATAACCATTCCTGGATTTTGTTCTCGGAGATGACACAAGGCTGTCCCAATGTCAAACTAAAAAAATACATGTTCAGCAAAACATGTTGGGCATATCAGCATCTGCAAAAACATGACCAAATGTACACAGTTCATCTGAGCAACCAATATTTGGCACACAGTCATCAGCAATTTCAGCATATCTTCAATATACTGAGAATTCAGCACAACTTGGCCAGGCATGAGTTCAATGCATGAGGGCATGAGTTTCAACACACTGATACTGTGAAGATCTCTAGCAAGGTGGACGGATTTCTTTTATGCAGGTTGGTCCCAATGCACGAGCACGGCACGCGAGCACAACCTTAATTACAATCTGGCAGCAGCATATCAATATCAAGATTTAAATTCACTGTGCACTTATCAAGAATAGTTGATCACAACTTCAATCCCACTGTTCCCGCCCATACTCATTTGACAACTTGCCTTACCTATCACCGCGATCCCTACCCAACCCCGTCACCCCGCGTACTCACCAAACATCCCACAGAGGAAACCAGCGGCGATATTTTTTTGCTTTAATTCCGTCGGTTTCGTCTTATGTACGCAATGCTTCCAAATACAAGAAGTGTGCTATTCTTTTAGTTAAGCGAAGTAATAGGCTGATGTTGTGTTATCATTTCAGTACAATGGAGGAGTAGATATCTTAGATTTGGCACTTGAATATCAATGTAAATTTAAATAAATTCTGATATAAATCAAGTCAAACGTCAGCATGAGGAGGCAAATGAAGTTAAACAAAATCAGCTCTTTAAGTTAGACAATTTCTCCTCACCTCTTCCCCGATCAAAGCAGTCGGCTCAGCTGCCATACAGTCCCGAAGTGACGCGGAAAAGACAACTATGATCTTCCCGGTGTTGTGAAAAGGGAGCCTGCAGCACTTGGTTCGCCCGGTATGTGTACGTTGGTCTGATTCAAGCGTGAATTATCTGAATCAAGTATAGCCTATGGCATAAGTTATTTGGGGAGGTGGTGCGGTCATAATTTGGTATTATACAGGCTAGGCCACGAAGATACTCATTTTCCGAGTCTGTTTGGCATAATGGGGACATCCCTGCAACGATTTCATTGTATGCCCAACAACAGTTTCTATGCGTGCATGCGGTGGATCTGAGCACTCGGAGTTTGAAACTTGGTTGCCACCAACTTCAGCACTCAGAGCTGGTTTTTCATTAAAACAATGTTTCAATGGTGATTTAAGACCCAACTACCCCTGACACATTCTGCATTAAATTCAGGTAAAAATTTAGCACAAGTTGGCATGACCTGTGTTGGGTGCATGCACACCCCAGGCTAAATGTATCAATGTCATGTAGATGTCCAGTGCAGAGGATGCTTTCTTTGCAGACTGATGTGAAGGCCTAAAGGCATGCTGCAGAATATGGTTCTTTATGGTTATCTATTGATAATAGAAGAATGTCACAAGGTACAATGTTTATCATAAGCACAACAAAAGAATAGCAGTGCAACTTTGAGCAGAGTGTTGTGCACTCATTTCCCCTATCTGACCTAATTGGTTGGATTGATTTACCCATTGACTGGAGTAGTTAGAAGTTAAGGATTTATATGGACTGTTTTGGGCTTTGTGTATGTCAAATAGCATCTTTAATCTACACCATATAACTCTTATCAGTGTCAACTTCCAGTTTCAACTTTTTGCTTATGCTTGACTGAATAACAAGATGATGCTGAAGAACCTGTCACCTCATTGCTATCCTCAATCATGGGGCTGTGGTTATTCTCAAACACTGAGGCATCTATCACATCAAAAAGGCACAGAAGCCCCCAAAAGCAGCTCTAAGAAAAAGTCTCAGAAAGCTCCTATCAGTAAAGCCTGGTCATCAACAGTCAATGTTCCTCAAACCAAGTTTAGGCTTAGGCCAAAAGATCAGGAGCGAGTGGAGATGGAATCAGCCCTACAGAAGGTAAGGTTGTTTTCCTGCATGCTGATTCATCAGCTGTATTTATGGGTGTGGGTCAAATGATGTTTCCAGTATATGGCACTTATTTCTCAGATTCTACTCAAGGACCTGCATAAATATTTTTAATGCATGGAAACCATCTCTAAGATTGATGGTTTGACTCACAAGAACTTCTGGTGCAGTGTTCATGTCATCATTATCTGTTTGGTATAGCTGAAGATGTCACCTGGTCAGAAGAGCAGCAATTTGTCACCAAACCATGCTCCAAAGATGCAGATCTTCATGCAGGATGCCTTTTGGTGGCTGCTGAATGCTCTATGCCCCTGACCTCCAGGGACATGGCTTTGAAGGCCTGTACGAGTGGCAGCGCAGTCAGCCATGGCCAGAGGAGTTTATTCTGCAGGATGGGCCACCATATGCCAATGGCAAGGCTCACATCGGCCATGCCTGTGAACAAGGTGACAACTATGCCTCTGTATGTGAAAGTCATAATGGCAAGGCCCATATCAGCCATGCCTTGAACAAGGTGACCACCATGCCTCTGCATGTGATGGTCATAATCCTTTATCACATGCCAGTGTCACACAAGCATAGTATGCATGTTAGCATCAGTGGATGATGGTGATGGCTTTGCCACATGGTCATGTGAATGCCAGTCCAAAATGGCATTCTGACATTAATGATCAAGGTTCAGTCCACAGTTTGACATATGGTGACTGTCTGCAGCATCTCTGAGAAGGTGCAAAAGGATTTCCTTGGCATATACTCATACACAGATCAGCTCCCACGCCTTCTCATGATGTGCTGAGCCTCCCAAGTAGCGATGTGCATGATCAAGCCTTGTACAATGACTGGACATTGCATGTTCCAAACTAGCCAGCAACTCTGTGTTGCAGAGTGTTTTCGATGCAGTCCTGAGCTGTCATCATCAGCTGTGGTTTTGCGTGCTTAGTCTGCGTGAGGCGGTGTGGCTAGCGCGTGTCACGCACCAGCACTGAACTGATCAGCGTGCCACGCCGGCAGATCCTGAAGGACATCGTGCTGCGGTACAAGGTGATGCGACGCGTGCGCGTGCGCTACCGGCCCGGCTGGGACTGCCACGGCCTGCCGATCGAGCTGAAGGCGCTGTCGCAGATCTCCGAGGACCACACGCGCCTGCAGCCGCTGGCCATCCGCGCGGCAGGTGAGCCGGCGACGGCAGCCGCACCCCTCACTGGCCGGGCAGATGGCAGATCTGGGGGGGGGGGCTGGTTTGATGTGGGATTGGGGTAGGTGGTGACGCCTATCGGCCCGCTCGGAAGGCGACCGACAGGGAGCGTGACCGGTGAGGTGCTGTGTTGACGTGATGATGTCACTCGCCCATGTTGCAGAGCAGGTGTGTTTAAAGTTGGAGTATGGTCATGACCAGGCAGCAGTGGAAAATGGTACTCGCCATGTAAGCACTTATGCTGAGTAAAAGATGCGATTCATGGGAAGTGTATGAACAGTATGCAACCCTGGTTTTCGTCCAAATTGACTCGCCTCGTCTGCATGTTTCGGCAACGGCATGACGCAAACCTGGGCGACAATATCAACTCGGTCTAGCCACCCTGGATGACCGTATTATTGCGTGCGATAGTTCGTGATCGTGTATGTCTGCGTGGATTTATGGGCACCCGAAAACTTGGCAAGCCATTCTCGGAAACGGGGATGGTGATCTTACACGTTGGTGTGAACAGGGGTGTAGTCCCATATGCAGTTGGGGGCTTCAACCTGTGCCTCAAACTCTGAGAAGAAAATTGCCCAAATCCAGGGAGAAACAGGCCTTCTGCGTATTTTGGGGGTAAGGTTGGGTTTAAGGCACGTCGTTTTTCATTACTCAGCCCCCTTTCCCCAACTCGCCTTGCAAAACTACATCCCTGGATGGTACGCGAAGTGTTGTGACACTACCGGTATAGGCCCTGGTATGCGCACCTGATGTGAACGCTGTCTGGCATATGCGCCGAGAAGCGAGAGCGCGCGCGTTCGCGACGACACCGGCCCCGGCGCCGCGCCGCCCGCCGCTCTCTAACAGCGTGGCCGGCCGGCAGCGGCGCGGTTCGCCTCGGAGGCGGTGGCGCTGCAGCGCGACGCCTTCGGACGGTGGGGTCTGCTGGCTGACTGGCGGCACGTCTACCTGACGGCCTCGCCGGCTTACGTCAGCCGCCAGCTGGCGGCCTTCCAGCGGCTGCACGCGGCCGGCCTGGTGTACCGCGGTCTCAAGCCCGTCCACTGGTCGCCGTCCTCCAGGTGGGGCGCCGCGCTGCCGGTCAGGACTCCGACGAAGGATTGGTGTGACGGTGGCTGGAGACAGTGCGTGCTGGGTCGGAGTTAACGCGCTGGCTGTTGGCGCCGAACGTTGGTGGCGCTGCGTGCTCGCATTCTCAGCAGTCGTACCTTCATTACACACTCTTCGGATTCATTTTATCCTGTTGTCGCTGTCAGGGCTACGTAGTCTCGATCGGTCGTGGTTGTGACAGATGCCACGACATCGGTCGCCTCACCGGCGACAGCGTACCACGAGCTGAGCCTGATCCTCCGCCCCCAGGACGGCCCTGGCCGAGGCAGAGCTGCAGTACAACCCGCAGCACGCCAGCCAGGCGGCGCACGTGCGGCTCCTGGTGGAGCAGCACCACCTGGCCGGCGACGAGCAGGTGTTCCTGCTCATCTGGACCACCACCCCCTGGACGCTGCCCGCCAACCAGGTGAGTGGAGGGAGTATGGAGGGCAGGACAGCGGCGATGGGCACGAGTAGAGTCGGCGCGTGGCGGCCATGGTAGCCGCAGCAGGCACGGGTTGCGTAGAGTCGACGTTATCACAGTTCACACAGCAGTCGCGCATCAGGTGTTATGATCATGACATGACCATAATGTGGTCGTCTAGCAATGTTACCGCAGTTACTCTGTAGTTGTATGTGTATGTTCATCGCGGTGAAGACGGGCAGGAGGTGACAGTGTCGACGTGTATCGATGTGTGGACGAGTTGTCGACTGGTTCGGTATATCGACTTTAAAAGGTCCCCCTAAATCGGTCTCGTGCTCGGGTCAGTATCTGTCAACGTGTTGTTGTGTCTTCTGAATGTCTGCGTCTTAAGCGGTCTGCGTTCCCCCGCTGCCCTCCCGTGGTCTGCCGGTGCTCTCCCGTGGTCTGCCGGTGCCCTCCCGTGGTCTGCCGTGTCGGGCGCGCACCGCATCGCTTTCTCGTCCTGTCGCCTCAGGCGGTGTGCTTCAACGAGGCGGTGCAGTACGCCCTGTTCCGCATTGAGGGTCTGCCTGGGCTGTACGCGCTGGCGTCGGCGGTCGCCGCGCAGATGTCCCAGACGCTGGGCCGCAGACTCGAGCTCCACACACAGCTGTCAGGTGAGCCGCGCCGTGTCGGCGACCTCGGCGGCGGAGCTGGTGACCGAGGGGCGCTGGCGGGTGAGAGGTGAGCCTTGCCGTTTGGGGTGGGTCAGGTGAGCTGTGCCGGCCGACCACGGCGGCGGAGCTGGCGACCGAGGGGCGCTGGCGGGTGGGAGGTGAGCCCTGCCGTTTGGGGTGGGTCGGGTGAGTTGGGTTGGAGACGAACCTTGAAGCTGTCACCGGCTGGATGATGCCAGGTGGAGAAACTTGGATGTAATGAACCGCTACATCCCAAATTAAGGTTTGTGTTATTAATCTCCACTTTATAAACACAACACTTGTTACATTAAACAACTTACTGTTCATTGCCATCTCTGGTTTTAATTAGCTTAAAAATAATGATCGTTAGGACGTGGCCAGTCGCCGGCAGCGAAGTGGCGTTGATTGCCGCCGGTGAACAAGTCAGGAACGCTTGAGCGTTGTTCCAAGGTAGCTGGACAAGTGTGATTGGCCGGTCGATGGCCCAGACAACTAACAAGATGTTATTAAGACAAGCTGTCTGCCGGCAGCGGCACGCGTCCACGTGACGGATAACAAGCCTGCGTACCCGCATGGTAACGAGCTCCGATTTGCGCCGTTCGTAAGGACGGCAGCGCGCCTCGCGTCCCGGAATTCTGACCCTAGCGGCCGCCGGTGGCCGCGTGCTTGGCCGCGCGGTGCGTGGAAGCCAGCCGGATTACTCCATTTCAGATCGTGCCGGGTCGCCTGCTCGGCCATCCATTCACGGGCCGCCTGTTCCATCAGCGCCGCGTCTCCCCGAGCGTGGCCGTATCCTATCTGCGCCCGGTGCCGGTCCATTTGGGCGTAACTCCGCCGATGACCTTCGCCGGCCATGGGGGGGGGGACATGGGGTGCCGCACGATGTCTGTCTGTCGGATTGTCTGTGTGTCTGCACCTCTGCCTGATTGTCTGCGTGTCTGAGCCTCTGCCTTTTGGTGCGGTGGTCTATTATTCTGCATTTTTTTGTGGTGAATAGCGACAAGACCTGTTGGCATCGGGAATTTTTTTTATTTCAATCAGTGTGTCTGGGATGTTATCCAACGTCTCAATGCATAGGTGTATTCAGTTCAAATTCACATCCATCGGTTTAATTGCTTCTCGATCGACGCCACCTAACTTTAGTTTTCCACGATGTGTGTGGACACTCGTTAACCTATTCTCTCCTGCTGTCTCGCTGTGTCCCCCTCCTTTGTTTTCTCCTCTCTCTGTCTCCCTGTCAGCCACCTTTGGCGACGCCTCGTGGTCTCCCATCCATTTTCGCTGTCGGCGGGACTTGATCCGTCCCGACCTGTGCCGGCGGGCGCACAGCTCGATCCCTCCCCGACCTGTGCCAGCGGGCGCACAGCTCAATCCGTCCCCGACCTGTGCCTGCTGACGCACAGCTTCATCTGTCACCGACCTGTGCCTGCGGGCGCACAGCTCAATCCGTCCCTGACCTGTGCCGGAGGGGCACAGCTCCATCTGCCCCGACCTGTGCCGGCGGGTGCACAGCTCCATCCGTCCCTGACCTGCGCCGGAGGGGCACAGTTCCATCTGCCCCGACCTGTGCCGGCGGGTGCACAGCTCCATCCGTCCCTGACCTGCGCCGGAGGGGCACAGTTCCATCTGCCCCGACCTGTGCCGGCGGGTGCACAGCTCGCTTGAAACGCGCCGCCAGACCACTCCCCGCCGACCCGTGGGAGCCGGCCTCAAACGTTCAGTCACGGGGTGGTCTTCGGATGAGTGGCATGCTGTCCTGTGCCGATGAGGGACTGTCCAGCATAAATACGAGCTCGTCCAATGTTGAACGTCTGGTGGTCATCCGGTGGCTGTCGGGAACTGCTCTCGGTAAAACATGTGAGCTCTCTGGGCAAGAATTAGTGGCGATGAGCGATGAGATGAGGCGGGATAGCTGGTAGGGACTGTTTCCCGGGCCGGTCTGATGCTGAGTGCCAGTGATGACCGAGTTGCCCGAACTGACTCGCCGTGCAGTACAGCATGTCTCATCTCAAACGGCACTGTTACCCATACTGGTCACACTGGGATCCAACCCGACCTGGTCAGACCCCAGACTTGACTCCACACCAGACTCGTCCCGACTCTGCATGATCTCTGACGTTATACTTGATCTCACCTTATCCTCCCAACCGCACGGGACCCCCAGAGCTCACACTGGTCCCCATCTGACTCACTCCCACCGACCCACCCCACCCCACCCCGCGTCTCTGGAATTCACTTGACCATCGATCCCCCCCCCCCTAATCGTGCCCGTCTCTCTCCAGCTGCCGACCTCTCTCAGTGGCGGTACCGGCCGCCGGTGCCCGGCCGGGCAGCCGCCGCCACGTTGCCCGTGCTGCCCGCCGGTCACGTGACCGTCTGGGGCACCGGCCTGGTGCACACGGCGCCGGCTCACGGACCCGACGACTTCCAGGTGGCGCTGCGGCACCGGCTGCCCGTGGTGAGCGGGGGACGGGGGACAGGCGGCTGGCCAGCCCTGTGTGGCATCCGACCATGTGCGATGCCTTCTATAAGGAATGAGTGGCCGTGCGGTTTCAAGATACCGGCAGCTTTTGCGGTTGGCTTGCCTGCGTTAATTTTAATGGCATTTCAGTTGTTTTGGAAAAACCCGCGGCGAGCGTTGATTGTGCACTCGGCATTTGTGCCTGAGTTTGTAATGGGAGTGTGACTGATACCCGAGTTATGGTCCGATGACATGTCCGCCACCATGACCCGGCCCTGACCCCAGGACTCACCCTGACGTGCCCTCTGACCTGTTGTTACAAACGTGAGCTGACCCCAGCCCCCTCCGTGCGGGCAGGAGGCGCTGGTGGACGAGGACGGGTGTTACACGGCGGCGGCCGGCTCGGCTCTCCACCGCCGGCCGGTGCTCACCGAAGGGGACGCGCTCGTCCTGCAGATGATCGGTACGGGTCGCCAGGGGCCGCCGGCGCCGACAGCAGACGCCGCGCCATCTCATGCGTACTCTTGCAGCCGCGCTTTGGCTGTGCAGATCGGTGATGGCTGCTTGACTCTGTTATATGTGGATGGTGGTAAAGATCATTGACTTGTCAGCGCGCGTCGCCGTTCGGTACTTTGAGTGGACAATATTTGTGTTGTTCGGTATTAGATGCTTTTCATAATCATAGGTTTTTTTCTTCTTTATGACAAAATTTGTGTGTGGGCGCTTCCTTTGGTGATACATATACGCATTTATGTAAGACTTGACACAGTATGCAGGAGATATCAGGGCCTTAAGGTCCTGTTTGTTCTTCATTTGTGTTGTTATGCTGCAGATAAACGATTTCTATCGTGCCAATAGGTGTTTGTTGTAAGAAGAATTTAAGGCAATTACTTAAATGTGTCGTGTTTTTTCATATTAGGTATTTTAATTAATTTGTGATATTTTTCGTTATTCTTTACCTTCTGGAAGACTGAGGATATACTTTTTCCAGCGCGATCCCCGCCGACGCTCTGAGTTCGGCCTGGTCCCAGTCCCTGACGGGGCACGGTCACCCGATAACACGTGCGCGGTTGCAGGCGATGACGCGGTGCACGTGAAGCGCCACGTGCACAGCTACCCGTACGACTGGCGCACCAATCAGCCGGTGTTGCTGCGGGCCAGCCGGCAGTGGTTCATCGACACCGAGCGACTGAAGCGGCGCGCGCTGGTGGGTCGCGACGGGGTCGGCTGGGCCATCGCGGCCTGGGGACCGCTGAGGGTTCGGGGCGGGGTGGGCCATCGCGGCCTAGGGACTACTGAGGGTTCGGGGCGGGGTGAGCCCTCGCGGCCTGGGGACCGCTGAGGGTTCGGGGCGGGGTGAGCCCTCGCGGCCTGGGGACCGCTGAGGGTTCGGGGCGGGGTGAGCCCTCGCGGCCTGGGGACCGCTGAGGGTTTGGGGCGGGGTGAGCCCCCGCGGTCTGGGGACCTCTGAGGGTTCGGGGCGGGGTGAGCCCCCGCGGTCTGGGGACCTCTGAGGGTTCGGGGCGGGGTGAGCCCTCGCGGCGGGGGAACGCTGCAGGACTGGGGTCGGGGAGGGGGGGGGGGGGGGGAGAAAACGGCCGTCGCAGCCGGGGCCTGGGAGCGTGCTGCGCCTGTTGTGTTGGGGCTGTTGGTTGAACGCTGATGTTTTGCTGGGAGGGATGATGGGATTGTTGCTGTGTTGCGCGTGCTCTTACCGAAAAATCGCCGAAATTGTCGCCGAAACTGGATGTTGTCTGGGTGTCGGGTGTCACAGCAGGTCTGTGGACTGATCTGGCGGTGCAGCCACGCTAGTCATGCCCCGTCCGCACCCAACGGCTCAAATGAACGGTGTAGATGTAGTCTCCTGTTCAGCTGGGTGGGCTCCAGCCTCCCTAGCATTGGCGCCCGTGCTCCCAATAGAGAGAAGAAATTGGACCAAATCCAAAGAGAAACACGTTTTTGGCCAGCTTGTCATTTCTCATTGCCCCCTCCCTTTAATTAATAACGCTCCTGACCCAGCTCTGCGCTGCGGCGCCGTTGCCCCCCCCCCCCCCCCCGTCGTCCCGGAGTGGGGGGGGGGTTCAACTGCCCGCCGCAGCCGTGGCCCTGACCCCTCAGCCCAGCAGTAACGCGGCGCGCTGCTGTTGCAGGAGTGCCTCTCAGACGTGATCATCCGGCCCGACAGCATCCAGTCCAACATGGCCGACCAGCTGCGGCGGCGGCCCTACTGGTGCATCTCGCGCCAGCGCGTGTGGGGCGTGCCCATACCAGCCTTCTACGAGCGCGACAGCGGCGAGCCCATCGTCACCGGGTAGGCGCGCGGGCGACGGTCGCTGAGCCGCCGCACCGGCGCACACCTTATTGGCGCGCGCCCCTGAGGAGAGGCCATCGCCGTGTGATGGGACGGCCGGCGCGATTGTAAGCGGATGGAGGTCAGGCGAACGCCGGCTGGTCGCAGGTGTGATGGGCTGCTGAGCGGATGGCAGCGGTCGTTGGCTGCGTACGGGGCGGGTGTTGCAGAGCTCTGATGGGATCGCAGAGGGTCACTCACCTCTGATGGGGTTGTGGTCCTTGGCATGCAGCTGGAAATACCACCTAAAATTGTAAGGTATTGTCTACTGTTGTAAGGTAGCGGACACTATGACTAGGTATTTTAAAAGGTAGGTAGGTATTTACTGTTATAAGGTATCATTTACTTTTATAAGGTAGCGCACGCTATGACAAGGTAGCAGCCTGCACCACTGGTCCCAGCATGAGTGGCGACCTTTGTCCCGATCCCAGCTAGGTGGTGAACTCTGCCCTGACTCCGGCCATATGGCGACCTTGGCCCTTGCCCCTGGCCTGGCCTATAGGTGGTGACCCTTGCCCTGGGCCCAGCCGGTGGACGGTATCCGATCTCGATACCAACCAGCCGGTGACCTCCGCCCTTACCCCAGCCAGATGATGACCTTGGTCCCTGACCCCACCCAGGTGACGGTCTCTGCCCCTGGTCCCAGGTAGGTGGTGACCTCTGCCCCTGACCCCAGCCCGCTGGTGACCCGTCTCTGCCGGCTGGTGGAGGAGTGCGGCACGGACGTGTGGTGGCAGCGCCCCGAGGAGGAGCTCCTACCTCCGGAGATGGTGGCCGAGTACCGTGCCAGCGGGCGGCCCCTGCCGCGCAAGGGCGACGTAAGTTCCGCCGGCGTCCGGCGGGCCAGGACCTGACCGCAAGCTGTGCGGTCGGCGATGGAAAAATAACAGTCTTCACGACAAGTTAACATGGGCTAGGGGTTCAAGCTTAATGCGTCATCACTCTGTTCAATGTTTGCGCTCGTCGGCAAGAATGCAGGTGATTCACGCGTTTTTGTTGTGTTTTTTTTTGCGATCCATTTCTATTTTTCGAGCTGGGACTAATTCAAAGTAATGTTGATGGCGTATTTGTGGTCGTGGAAACGGCGCACACGTGATGGGTATATGCCTCGACTGGGAAGCGTGCCGAAAACCGCACGGTGCGTATTTAAACCCAGCCAACGCGGCGCTGGGCCCGGCTCTGGTCCTCGCCGTAACTCAAGATTGATTGCTCTGGATGGAAAACGGCACCCGGCGGGCACGTTTTGCCACTTGCTCCAGATATGACTCCTTATATTTAACATCGGCAATATGCATTACTCAGTTGCTGAGTCTAAAATCGGACAGGAAACTGCCTTCGTGAAACGTCGCGGCAATTAGGATTATTGGTTTGTGGAACTCTTCGCCTTCTAGGCCATTTGGCGCCCACGCATGGACGTCTGTCAGCGCTTACTATCTTGACATCGATCTTACACCCCCACTGGATATTCTTGTGCGGCCTGGGTAAGCGCCTTAGAGCACACTTGTGTATAAACAATCAATGAAAACTCAGCTCGTCGCCATCTCTCGTGACTGCGCGATTTGTCGGGATGATGGGGCTGACAGCGGCGCCAGCCGACTTCTGGGGCTGACAGCGGCGCCAGCCGACTTCTGGGGCTGACAGCGGCGCCAGCTGACTTCTGGGGCTAACAGCGGCGCCAGCTGACCTCTGGGGCTGACAGCGGCGCCAGCCGACTTCTGGGGCTGACAGCGGCGCCAGCTGACTTCTGGGGCTGACAGCGGCGCCAGCTGACCTCTGGGGCTGACAGCGGCGCCAGCTGACTTCTGGGGCTGACAGCGGCACCAGCTGACTTCTGGGGCTGACAGCGGCGCCAGCTGACCTTCTGGGGCTGACAGCGGCGGCAGCTGACCTCTGGGGCTGACCTGCGCCGCCGTCGCCGGCAGGACGTGATGGACATCTGGCTGGACTCTGGCCTCTCGTGGTGCGCCGCGGAGGAGGGCGAGGGGGCGGACGGCGGCCCGGCCGACCTCTACCTGGAGGGCCTGGACCAGTTCACCGGCTGGTTCCAGAGCTCGCTGCTGACCTCGGTGGCGCTGCGGGACCGCGCGCCCTACAGGTGGGGCTGGCACGGCGCCCGCGGCCGCCACGGCAGCGTCGCTGGTCGCAGCAGTCGAAACTGAAATTACGTTGTTAACTGAGGCGCGTTACTTGCACATCGTTGCGGTTTCATTCAAGATGAGCCTTAGGCCTCCCGAAGCGGTGTGATATTTAGCTGCTGAGGAAGCGGCGGAGCATGTGTGCGGTAAAAGCTGCCGTCCAGATTTCCCGATACGTTAAAGGCCTTTCACTGATCGCTTGTCTGGACCTAAGAACGTGATCAGCATCGTGCCCACTAAGTGGATGCTAGAAACAGCTGCTCATTAAATGGATATCAGGCAGCGTATGCGGCTCAAATTCTACTGCAGAGACGGTCCTCATTCGAGCATGCATGATGGTCGCTCTGTAACGAGCTTGCGCTAGCTGGGCATGGCCGCTGTCAGGAAGTGTATCCATTTGCCGTGTCACTACACACGGCCTAGACCGCCGCTGTGTTCAGCCCCGCTGACGATCACTGATCAGTGCGGACCGGCGGGACACTGTCCAGTCGGATGTGAAAAACGATCGGTCATCTTGTTAGTGCAAACGACCTGAATGCAGGCTCATGCAGGGAAAGATGGCCGCGTGGCTCGTGCGGGCCGGGGCACACCCAGCGATATGGGGTCTGCGTGTGTCTGTAAACCCCAAGTCAGAGGGGAGCGTTGTTAAAGTCATGCTTGGAGTAATGTTATGTGTGGTGTAATATTTCGTGAGGCGTGATGCAAAATTCGTTAAAAGATTTGACGTAAAATGACCTTGGCCGTCGGTGCGCTTTAAAGCCACAACCATCAGCTTCATCATCATCTTGAAAACGGCCGCGTATTTCCCATGGTATCGCGATGAACTGAGAGGTATGATGATGAACTGGAGCTGTCCACCGCAATAACTGAGGCTGGCCATCTGGTTATGGACTGGTGCTCTTGGAAGCACAGTTCTTATGGTTCAAGTAGTGTTTGACTCTGGGGAACGGTGAACTTCCAGTTCACTTGTTACCTCGGCCAGTGCGCTGGCAGTGGCCGGAACGCCCAGAACCCTGCTGGCAGACGTAAGACTCATTACTCACACCCAGCACACTGTTGCCACCAACGCCACATCTGCGGGAACGGACACAGCCTGGTCCCTGCCCTCTGCGCGGCCGGCCCAGTCACCTGCCGCCACACCACACGTGTTTGCCACGGTCGCTGAACTCCGCGCGGCTGCCGCACCCGGCACAGCGGCTGTGCTCACGGCCCCCAGTGCGCTCGCTGCGCTCCGAGCGCCTGACAAAGGCGCTAGCCGCCGCAGTGCCGGCGCTCCGGCCCCCACAGGTCACCACTATCGCGACGCAAGCGCGTCTGTCACAGGCCTGGAAAGTACAGGCCTGGGTCTTTGCCTTCTATCTGCCTCCGGAGTCGACGGGCCCTGTCGGCTACCCGGAGGTGTGCCCTGTCGGCTGGCCGGAGATGTGCTCTGTCGGCTGGCCGGAGGTGTGCCCTGTCGGCTGCCCGGAGATGTGCCCTGTCGGCTGCCCGGAGGTGTGCCCTGTCGAGTGGCCGGAGGTGTGCCCTGTCGAGTGGCCGGAGGTGTGCCCTGTCGGCTGCCCGGAGGTGTGCCCTGTCGGCTGTCCGGAGGTGTGCCCTGTCGAGTGGCCGGAGGTGTGCCCTGTCGGCTGCCCGGAGGTGTGCCCTGTCGGCTGACCGGAGGTGTGCCCTGTCGGCTGGCCGGAGATGTGCCCTGTCGGCTGGCCGGAGGTGTGCCCTGTCGGCTGGCCGGAGGTGTGCCCTGTCGGCTTCCCGGAGATGTGCCCTGTCGAATGGCCGGAGATGTGCCCTGTTGAGTGGCCGGAGATGTGCCCTGTCGAGTGGCCGGAGATGTGCCCTGTCGGCTGGCCGGAGGTGTGCCCTGTCGGCTTCCCGGAGATGTGCCCTGTCGGCTGACCGGAGATGTGCCCTGTCGGCTGGCCGGAGATGTGCCCTGTCGGCTGGCCGGAGGTGTGCCCTGTCGGCTGCCCGGAGGTGTGCCCTGTCGGCTGGCCGGAGGTGTGCCCTGTCGGCTTCCCGGAGATGTGCCCTGTCGGCTGACCGGAGATGTGCCCTGTCGAGTGGCCGGAGGTGCGCCCTGTCGCTGACAACTGGCGTCCCGGTGAATGGGCGCTGTCGTCAGCGCCCATTCACCGGGATTGTATGAAATTTGGCATGAAAAAACAAAGCATGAAGTTCAACAGGTGCACCAGCCCAATTTCATGCTATAGGATACCATAAACGCTCGCATTCACGTATTGTTCAGTACGTACGCCACAATAACGCTGATGTAAGATATGGCATAAATTTGTAATGTAATGGTAGTAAACAGGATTGTTTTGAGAGGTGTATCGAACCCGCCTCCTCTGCTCCTGACACAAACATTCTCCTTCCGTTCTGCGACGCTCCCGTCATCCGTTGAAGACGCGGTCGTCCGATGCTCATTGTGGCACACATCCGTTACAGGCATTTCATTGTTCCATTAAGACAACACGTTGCGTTTGTTTCGCTCATGTCCCGTGTCCCGTATTGATGTCGCAATGCTTGGGGTGTGGATTCGAACCGATGCGGAAGGAAAGGTCGGACTCTGCGAAGGCCGGTGGGAATGTCCGCGTTTCCACTTGGTGGCCAATTCAGGCTGCTCGCTCTGACTTGTCTGGCCAAGGCGTAAGAGCTAGTTATTGAGTTTTAAGGGCACATCAACTGCATTGGTTATTTGCGCCGCCAAGGTGCAATGCACCATGTGACTACACCGAATCCAAGATGTGTTGATCGTTTCTATATGCTGCTGCCATTCACGCTTTGCTCCCAACCTGCAATGTTGGTAGGTTGTAGCGTAAACTCAGTGTATTTACAATTGAACCATCCATCGGATTTACGTGTGGATGCAAGGCTCTATCGGTGCAGTACTGCTGACACCGCAACAGGGCAAGCGTTTTGCAGACATCGCATTCCCTGCTCCGACTCGCCACCGTCAGCGTCGGCTGTGTCGGAGTCCGCTCCTCTGTGCGCTCGAGACGTGCCGGTGATGACGGCGTCGCTGCCGACGACAGGTCCATTTTCGTGCACGGCTTCGTGATGGACGAGCACGGGAGGAAGATGTCCAAGTCGCTGGGCAACGTAGTGGACCCGACGGACGTGATCGCGGGCAGTCAGGCTGAGCCGCGCCGCACCGCCTACGGTGCCGACTGTCTCAGGTCAGACACCGGCAGACACTGGCAGGACACTATCTCAGGTACGACACCGGCAGACACTGGTAGACACTGTCTCAGGTCAGACACCGGCAGACACTGGCAGACACTTTCTCAGGTCAGACACCGGCAGACACTGGCAGACACTGCCTCAGGTCAGGCACCGGCAGACGATGGCAGACACTGGCAGACGCTGCCTCAAGTCAGACACCGGCAGACGCTAGCGGGCACTGTCTCAGATCAGACACCGGCAGACGCTGGCAGACACTGTCTCAGGTCAGGGACCGGCAGACACTGGCAGACACTGATAGACACTGACTGAGGTCAGACGCGGACAGACACTGGCAGACACTGTCTCAGGTCAGACACCGGCAGACACTGGCAGACACTTTCCCAGGTCAACACCGGCAGACACTGGCAGACACTATCTCAGTTCAGACACCGGCAGACGCTGGCAGACACTGTCTCAGGTCAGGGACCGGCAGACACTGGCAACACTGATAGACACTGTCTGAGGTCAGACGCGGACAGACACTGGCAGACACTGTCTCAGGTCAGACACCTCTAGACACTGGCAGACACCGTCCCAGGTCAACACCAACAGGCACTGGCAGATACTGACTCAAGTCTGACACCGGTAGACACTGACTCAGGTCAGACACCGGCAGACACTGTCTCAGGTCAGACACCGGCAGACACTGGCAGACACTTTCCCAGGTCAGACACCGGCAGACACTGGCAGACGCTATCTCAGGTCAGACACCGGCAGACGCTGGCAGACACTGTCTCAGGTCAGGGACCGGCAGACACTGGCAAACACTGATAGACACTGGCTGAGGTCAGACGCGGACAGACACTGGCAGACACTGTCTCAGGTCAGACACCTCTAGACACTGGCAGACACCGTCCCAGGTCAACACCAACAGGCACTGGCAGATACTGACTCAAGTCTGACACCGGTAGACACTGACTCAGGTCAGACACCGGCAGACACTGTCTCAGGTTAGACACCGGCAGACGCTGGCGGACACTGTCTCAGATCAGACACCGGGCAGACACTGTCTCAGGTAAGACACCGGCAGACGCTGGCGGACACTCTCTCAGATCAGACGCCGGCAGACACTGGCAGACACTATCTCAGGCCCGACACCGGCAGACACTGGCAGATGCTGTCTCAGGTCTGACACCGGCAGGCGCTGGCGGACGCTGTCTCAGGTCAGGCGCCGGCAGACACTGGCAGACGCTGTCGCATGTCAGACACCAGCAGACGTAAGCAGACACTGTCTCAAGTCAGACACTGGCAGGCGCTGACTCAGGCGTGACGCTGCACCAGGTTGGGAGCTGGCGCGCGTATAATATTGACGATGTCACCGTTAATGCCTGTGCGACAATATATATGGTAATTGTTGTTTCACCTCTGGTGAGGGGAGTCCTGCTACATGGCATGTGGTTTTATGGTGTGTTGGGAGTCTGGTGTTCATGCGTTTTGTCTGAAGACGCCGGCACTTTACCACAGCATCACTTTGCGAGATCATATGAGATGCATCGCTACATGTCTTTCATAAATACTTGTGATGGTAT